GGTTTCTCATTCCTGCACTTGCTGATTGCAAAGATGATCTATTTTCTGTTCCGTTTTTTTTACTTCATTTCTGTATTGGCAAGTTTTTATCTTAATAAATCTCAGTTCCGGGTCAGCGCCCGTGTTGTGGGCCTTGTTTTTCTAGTCCTGGTCACTCATTACGCTGATGAAATCAAGATGTATCCGTCTGCTAACTTCTTCTAAATAAGCTAATACTTCTAGAATCTTTTATTCCCATTCCTCTTCTCCATACAAAGTAGCGTGCCAACTGTTACATGGACGCCAGCGAAAATATGTCCGTTCAATGAAGAGCCTCTCTCATCTATAATTAAATGACTTCGTTCAAAGAGCAGACACCGTTCTTGTTTACATTTACCATTAAGATGGCTAGTGTTCACAACATAACAGTCTTCTTTCTCTCTAAAGTCTAGCCCACTGAATCAAGTTTCACTAGGGGCTAGCCCCACTACATACATTAAAATCACCTACAGTGTTTCTTTCTCTCTTTAGGCCAACTTATAGGTCTTGCTAACCGAACTACTGTGTACCTTCAACAACATTGCAATTCACGTCTGAAACGAAGTGTAAGTACAAGGACTAATGAGATTATCAACAGTGTAACTAGCTGTTCATATGCGAAAACGCTTCACAGGTTGGGTGAATGAATGCGAGGACTCCAGCGGGTACCATTCGCTTTAGAAGCCACCCTTTACTTTTATTTTATTTAGTTCTATCATTTTGTTGGAAAGTTTATTTAAATAGCTTACAGCCTTCTAAGCCTTCTTAAGACTTACAGCCTTCTACATCCTTACAGCCTTCTTAAGCCTTCTAGAGAGGAACCTCACAGGAAACGGCGAGGTTCCTCTCTAGAAGGCTTAGCTTTCGTTCAGACAGCTGTTCTGCATAAGCGTTACATCAGAATTCAGTTAGTTTCCAAGGGCGACTGCCGAGGTTGCGACAGATGGCAGGCGAGTAAAACGCGCTAGAGCGTAGATGCCATAGAATTCATCGTCATGATGTCCTGTAGCAGCGGCCCTTAGTCCGAGCCCGGCCCGGCCGGGCGTAATTTTGTCGATGCAGTCTTATGAAGTGTGAGGCCCAAGGAACGGCTTTCAGCTCTCCCATAGGAGAGCGCCGAATACCTGAAACCCTTAGTAGAGTGCCGAATACTTGAAATCGTTAACCACTTTTTCTAAACACACGTTCGGATGAGACTGGGGCGGCTTGGTACTCTCCCATAGTCGAGTACCAAGTATTATAAAGCATTAAAACCTTTTCTAAACACACTTTTTGAACTGTCGTACATAAGGACTGGGAGGATGTTGGGAGGGCTTCCTGCTTTCCCCTAGTAGAGTATGCCAAGTACCCTAAATCGTCTAACACCTTTTTCTAAACACACGGAATAGTACACAGTATTCTAAAGCGTCTTTTTCTAGGGTGCCTTGATGCTCCTCCTCTACAGCCACTCCGTGCAGGGTGGCGAAATTCGAAGTGCCCACTCCTTTCCTCTTCACGCACGTTAAAACTTCTTGCAACCGCGCGCCAGCAGTGTGCTGCCGAGAAATGGGTGCAGACATAGCGCCGATGTCGTTACGCTGCGGCAGGGGAAGAGGGGCATCGAGTCCTTTCCATAGTGTTTACGTCTAGCGATAAACAGTTCCTTGAGGAGCATTCCAGATTCACCAGCGAGAGGCGTTGTCCCTAAATCTCTCCACTCCAAAAAAAGAAAACATACAAAACTGAAACGGCACAAGAGATATAGCCAACTTCACTCTTCCCTCCACAGAAAAAGTGAGGCTGATGGCCCCTTTCGTCAGCCTGTTGATGCTTTTTTTTGTTGTTGTTCTAAGAATTTCAATATTCTGCAAATATATTTTGTGTATTTCTGTGCTGTGTCGCTGCTCTTCTTTATTTCACGTTGTACTGATAAGCGATGGGGAGCGCCTTTCTACTGTTTTAAACAGGCTGCGTTGTGGTCAGCGTTTACTCAACATTTCGTTGTTGTTTCTTTGTTCTTCAGGTCAAGACATTCGGATCCAGCGCTGGCGATGTGCTCATTCCAAGCTGCACTTGGACGCTACGGTAGCCACTTCCGCTGTGGCCATGGCTTACAGTAAAGAACTATAGTAAAGCCTTTTCCACTGGTCCACTAACCCAGAGCGGGTACAGTAAAGGCTAGTTAATTGAAACTCGCCTAATTAAAGCTTACAGTTAATTTGAACTGACGCCTGGTCCCGGACACAGCCCTGTGCACCTCTCCGGAGGAAAGCTCCCGACATTTCGAATGTGTCGGTGTCCCCGACGGCTAATTTGTACTGGGAGCGCCTGGTTTTTATCGATACCTGAAGAAGTCGACCCAGTGTGATCGCAGTGTGTTGCAAAACCACACCAAACCAAGTTTTCTAGAGATTCTAGTCAACAAAAACAGCAGCATTCCTCGCGAGATGATAATTCAGGCGCTGCGCTGGAGTTTTTGCGCAAGGAGCAAACGATGCTCATGCAGTCGCGACAGAATAAATTCGAGTACTTATGAAAACACTTGATTGCGCAAACTCTACCATATGAATATGTGCGTTTTAAAATGTAACCAGCGTCACACATATCGACATTCAGGCTTACTGCTCACGAGAATACATGTCGGTGCTTGTTTCTGGCGTACCAGTGACTGATCGATTAGTTCTGTTCGATGCTAGAGCTCCCTAAACTTAATTTACGTAACTCCTGCACCGAAATTGCATTGCGTACAGCTCACGGTGCAAGAACACTTTAGGTGAGCGAACGCCGCGGAGCGAGCGCTTGGCGGGGAGGGACGGATTATGTTCTCGTTCGCGGCGTGCCGATAGATGGCTCGTCGGACTGAGGACCGTGGCGGGCTGTTGGCGTATTCCGCAAAGCACATCCGGCACGTGGACGACGGTTTACAAATCAGAAAAAAAAAACCGTCTTATCGCGCGATGTCAAGCAACGTCCCCACGAAAAGGGGGGCGGTAATAAGGGAGGAGGTTGACGGAACGGCGCGGGTGTTGTGGCGAGGATAAATGAGCGCCGCTACTCTCTTACGTCACGAGACATTCCTAAACCAAAAAGCGGAGGGGGAGATGGGGCAAAGTTCGTAGCGCCATCTATCGGGCTCATTGCAAAGCAGTACATTTATCGGGCAGCGGATAGTCTTCGCTCACCTAAAGCATTTTTGCACCCTAGTATAGCTCAATTCGCGTTAGCGAGTCCAGAGATGGCTTCTTTTGGGTTCTGCCTGCGGCGCAATGTCCATTAACACTAACGCCAACCCGCTAATTAGAACGATCCTGTAGTCCCACTCGAACTCGAACTAACAATTTTTCGTTGCACTACTATAAAAGCTGCACTAGAACGCAAGCAGTCTTGCAAGCGCTGCTGTGCATGAACGACACGCCTAAAGCGCTAAGCGTCTCGACGGCGCCACTGAATTGTAGACTAAGACTGACTTTGAAAACAGCTCAGAGTAAGGATAGGTCAATATTAGGAACAGCTTCGCTGTTAAGTTGAGGATTTATTGATGGTCTAAGAACATGAAAACCTAAGCTTACTACAAAAAATTGGCCAAATGATCACACGGACTACTAAGTGAAATTAATTTATCCGTGATAGGCGCGCACGGAAACTATACAGAGACCAACGCACTATTTCACCTATTGCACTATGAAAAAAAAAAAGAGGATGAGCCCTTCCGACTATTTTTGTGAGTCATGAGTTGCGACAAATACTAAACTCTTTTAAGGAAAAACGTTAGCTCTCTTTTAGTGAAACGCACGTGCCATGCCTCTCAAAAGAGACTATAATGATCCCCGAAGAGAATTCACGAGTTTCTTTAAAGCACGTTCCTTTAAACGTAGTTAAACGTGCGACAAATCAGCACTAAAAACGAAAAAAAAAAGCTGAATGACTAGTTTTTATTGTGACAGCAATAAAATGGACACTCTCGGCTGGATTTTGCCGCCGGTGTCGGCGTCATCCACCGTATATGTATACGCATGTACAAATATGAAAACGAAGAGAGAAAAATAATGGAGAAAAAGACTACGGCGCGCGGAATCAAACATCTGATATCTTGCTTGTGCACGACGCGTTAGCCACTGAGCCACAAAGGAGTACCCCCTTCAAGGTCCAAACGGCAAGCTATTTATATCTACACTTGCCGCTGGCGACGGGTATCTCGGGGGAACTACTCTCTCAGAAAAAAAGCCCCGAAACCGGAGTAGGCCCACAATGCGGTGGTCGGGCTTGACCTGATTGTTCCAATGTGGTTCCACATCTGCTACTTGAAAAAAAAAGTGATGAAACTGACATTCAAATCTACTAGAAGCTAAAGCGGAGGGGGCAGTAATCAAAAGCTTTTTTATTCCCTCAGAGCACTCATTTCGAAGTCAGTCAACTGTCTACTCTCACAGGAAAGAAGACAAGCAAGAAACTCCAAGAATAGTTCCAAACTACCAATCGCGAGAATTCACCACCGAAGAATAAAACATAGGGTGAACATGTTTGTTAGCAGCAAGAATAACACTGTAAAACAGAAAAAAGAGCATTTCTTTGCCGTTCCGCTGGGATTGGAGTCCCGTTCTCCTTGACAACATGCCCCCTCAAAAGTTCACTTTGGCCCTGCTCTGTTCATTTATATTATCTGCAAATTCTACTATATTCTTAAAATGCGGGCTGAGGGTTTATTTTATTCCTCACAATAAAGAATATCCCAATGTTGGATTGCCGCGCTGCGCTCAAGGTCACGCATCTCTGAATTTTTCAATAAAGTATTGCATGAACGCTTTCATTAGCGGGGAACCGTACGCAACTTTTTTTTTTTTTTACAGAGCATCTTTGACAACCGTTAGTAAAGGTGAAATGATGAGTCACGGCTGGTCGATTTCGTTGAGCAGCCGTGGTTAAGTACACGTGTTGCGGCGTTATTTGTACACATGTTCGATGCACGTGTCCCACGTCTATAGTGGTGCTGGCAGGGCGCATACCTTTGTGCTGTTGCTGCAAGGAACTGTGTCTGGAGGGTCCTCGCTGGCCGCTGCCGTCATTGGTCGCGTAGTCGGGCGGCGCCTCAGTCAGGAAGTTGGAAGGGACCAATCCCTGCTGGCCGCGCAGCTCGCCGAAGAAGAAGCCGTCTTCGTCCATGTCACCGTACACGTAGATGACGTCACCGGTGCTGAACGCCAGCTCCGACTGTGCGCGCGGAATGCATGCTGCTGTTACTGCCTACCATAGGTCCGCGAAAAAAGGTATAACTCACTGAGACGCACTCGATAATGATATTTTGTCCTTATAGCTCACTCGGACTAAGAGACTCACCGAAATTTTCAATCGGACTCACTCAGGCTAAGCGAAATTGGGTATGCTTAAGTTTCGCCTTTAAGAGTTGAACGCGACGGCCATATCATATCCTCAGTGCGTACTTCGAGAACTTATTGCATTACTTTCGATTGCACGATGTTACTCGAGAAGTTTAAATGGTAAATTACTACAATGTTGAAAGGTTCAAAAACCTTTCAGGTTGAAAATAAGGTTGAAAATGAGGTTGAAAGTGACTTGTGTCAGTGCAGCTTTCGCATATGGCTGCATTCGGCGTAATGGGCAGCATGCTTTGAATTCCGTGCAGTTATGCACCATGAAATGTTTTCGAACTTGCTATGCACCCACTGCGTCGTTTTAAGGGAATATGCGCATTAATGTGTCTGCCTTTTGTAAAGGTAGCCGGCTTCAAACCACGACGTCGTTATGGTTATCACACGTTCTGACACTCGATGGCGATGTACGATTGTACCACGCAATATTTATGCGGTGTCACATGCTGTATTGTCCAGCGTGTATGCAAAACGCGTGTGTTTGTAAAGCACGAGTTATCTTCACTGCGTTTACAAGCAGAGAAAGCCATTTTCCCTGTATTTTAAAGCAGGCGCATGACTGTGTGGTAGAGCAACTGCTTGCCACACAAACTGCCTGGGTTCAATCCTCGCTCGGACCCGGAGGTTTTTGTTATTTTATTTTTTATTTGCCTCTATTTCGATATTTTGGTCACGGACAAGACGTTTTTTTTTTTTTTTTTGGTCACAACCGACGACACTGACGGTGTGATTTCTACGAAACGAGCTCTTGAAAGCTGTCGCGTTAAATCAATTTTTTTACAACTGGGCTGATTCAGGTTACGAGTTTGACGAAATATTTAGGAACCGAACTCTCTTGAGCTCAACCTTAAAAAAATATATTATTCGGCGAGGCTCATTAAATTAAAAGTCATGGCGCAATCTCAGCCTGAATGAGTCTGAATGAGTGTGAGTTTAATGAACTGCACTGCCAACATTGTAGAGTCGAGAGGCAAAGTGACCTGATGAAAAATACGTGGAAGAATTACGGTGTAGACAAAATGATTCACTGCATGGCCTAAGCGCTGTAGGCTGTTTGACTCAGTAGTTTCTGTCCCGAACTACATCATACGTTGCCACGAAGAGTTAACGAGGTGACTGCGGCCACCTGATCACTGTAAGTATCATTGGTAGAAAAAGTTGCTTTGGCTTTAACGAGAGGTGACTATACTGCCGTTACAGGACAGGGCCGTGAATGAAAGGGGGACGTACACGCCAGCTGGGTGCCGCGTTCCTTCCTCACACTCGTGTCCTGTTAGGTTAGTAAATTCATGTCTTATTACGCTCGATACCAGCTAGGCTACAGCTCTGGGCCCTTATAAGTTTCAAGGTTGGTTCTATTCGGGTATGTGACACGTTACTTGGAAATACGAGTGTTTAACTAAACAACGGACGCCATTGAGAACTGGGCAAGCTGGTGAGGATTCGTAGCGCACGCGTTGTGTCCATTGGTTCTTAGTCCTCTTCAAATTTTTGCCGTTTTTCTAATATTTGCTACGAAAGGCAACGGGAAGACAAGCGCTAGTACTTGTCCTTCCTTCTCTTTTCGTGGTCCTTGTTTTGTTACGAGGTGGGATTTTCCAGTAACGTGAGACGCCGATTCGGACTATGAGCCATTTTGAACAATATCGTGTTAGGGTTGACGTCGCCCACGGTATTGCACGTCCGCCAGGAGGGCAGCGCTATGACGTAATGAACAATTATTCCGCATAATACCCCCGCTCCTGGTAGCTTGTTTCTATCTATCTAAACAGACGGCGATCGAAGTAGAGGTCTGAAAAGGCATGGAGGGACGAGGAGAAGGATCGGAACAAAAACCTTGAGACACGTAGATGAAAAAGATAACACTGACTCCAACTTCTGAAAATGAGCGTTTGGCACGACAGAAAACGGCCGAATAAGATAATAATGCGATAACTGTTACCGCGAAAAAGGGATCGTTTCATGCTACGAAGGAAGTTGTAAGGAGTTTATAAAATGCGGGAAAGCCCAGCGTATTCGATGATGTGCTGTGTGAGGCGTCCCTGTTTCCACTCGCGTGGCGACTATTCTTCATACATAGTTCAACTAGTTACCACAGAAGCAGGAAATTGTCTTTATCTATGCGTACTGCTGCGTTTTCAGCGGTCTAAAGTTTTCTATAGAATCCGCAACGCTCAACTTGAAGCGAACAAAGCAAGCTTACTCTACTATGAAGTTCAATAAATACTGCGACACTCGTGGCACTGTTTTACGGCGATCATTAGGTAGTAAACTTTTTGAGAACAAGCATGTATACAAGAACCACATGATAAGTAACAGCATTGTTTAGTGGACTCACGAAAGGATCTGGGTTGGGGCTGAGTTCAGCCGGGTCGTAATCGTACAGGGCTACCATTCTCTTGGGCTGCGGTCGCATTACGCCTCCCCAAGAATCGTTTCCTGGGAGAAAACAAAAAAAGACCATTCTCAACGCTCCACTTTATCTAAATTGATGGTCAGACATTGCTCCTGCACGGGTATTGAACAAAGACAACAGCAACAACAACAATAACAATCTGGAAGCGACCACATTCTGAGACAGATATTTAGTACCAGCACTCACATGTCGGCGTTCGTGTGCAGTGTGTATTCCTTGAATAAACTTTGTGTTTTGTAGCGCTACTGAAGCGTATCACGGAGGCCACGTAGAAAGAAGCGTGTGGTTGAGATGTGCTCCACCAGGTGCCGCTAGCAATCCCAACTTTTCAATGAACGAATTAAATTATTCCCCTTTAATTATTATGGTCAATTATTCTACCGGGTGTTAAGTACCTCTATTCTCCGATGTCATACTGTACACGTGTTGTATATCTTTCTTTTGGCTGTATGCAGGTTTAGCTTAATACGCAAAGATTTTTAGCGACTGCCGGCGTTCCTGGCGCCGTAATGTGTTAGGAGCTATTAGATGGCTTGCGATACTTTGACCTCATCCTGTTGAGATTACACGCAAGATGCGAATAGTCAAGTTTGTTCGAGAGTTTACGTAGTCACCATGGATAAGGCTCGAATGTTCGATGCCACATGCATATCTCGCAACCCGCCTCACCGCCGATCAGATTGGCAACGGCCGACGCTCTGTAAGCTGCTGCGTTAGGCGAGCCACCCTTAAGCCGCGACCGCCAGAATGGAAGAAAGGCTGCTGCATGACTTTGCGGAGATAAGGAGCAGCGCGAAGACGCCCTGCTGTTTTCATGTACTGGGCGGTGCGAGGTTGCAATTACTCGACGGAGCACTGCTGTCGTTGGGGCTAGCACAGAGATGTGACACGAGGCGTTTTCGTGTCCCGGGAAAAGTCATGATGCCGAGTTTCCGCCGATTACAGACGTCAGACCACCACGCTGTGCATTTCTGACAGATGGGCCACCGTCGCTCAAATCAGCGCCAGATGTCCAGGCACTTACCCACGGAGGCGCCTAGCCCGCGACCACTGCTCGACAAGCATGGGTGGTCGGGCTGAGTGGCGAGATGACAGACTCATTCCTTCTTGTCTCTTCTTCGTGTCCTTCTTGTCTCTGTGTCGTCGTTTTGTTCTTGCGCTATAACTATCGTCATGCCATACCAACTAGCCCAAGCTGCCAAACTTCATTACTCCCCGCTTGCTGGAAGCAAGATTCGCCAGATGAGACATCACCAGGACGATACCCGTGTTTGGGTTGTGTATGCGTGCTTGTTGGGGGCGGTGCCGGTATAATGACCCTCGTGAGCGCCATAGGACATGTTACGGGACAGTGTAGTATGGACCTATTCTCCGATCTAGGTATCTGGGAAAAGGATACTGTATTTAATCAGCCCTCAAGGGCTGCTTGTGGTGCTTGTTCAATGGAGAGCCTTTTATTGTAGAACTTCAGGCCAGAGAGCTATTGTCATGTAAATATTGTAAATAAACCGTCTATGTAAAGTTCAACTTCCTACTCCCTCACCATCTCCATCCCGAATCTCCGGTGCCCGCAAACCCCGGTCGCAACAAAGCCCTTCTTAGCGTACATCGTCTTTAGCTTGTAGTATGACTTCTAGTTTTCCATCCCAAGTTCATAGGCTTCTCCTTGAGCCCCCAACCGCTGAATTCTCGACCATCGTGACCACGTCAGAATATGCATCCAGTAGAACTCGTCAACTTGAACTAGTTGGTACTCCATGATCAAAAACTTCTTACACGAATTTCTTGTACAACAGACACCCTGTCCATGTCTGTACACAGACAGACAGACAGACAGACAGACAGACAGACAGACAGACAGACAGACAGACAGACAGACAGACAGACAGACAGACAGACAGACAGACAGACAGACAGACAGACAGACAGACAGACAGACAGACAGACAGATAGATAGATAGATAGATAGATAGATAGATAGATAGATAGATAGATAGATAGATAGATAGATAGATAGATAAATAGACAGACAGACAGACAGACAGACAGACAGACAGACAGATAGATAGATAGATAGATAGATAGATAGATAGATAGATAGATAGATAGATAGATAGATAGATAGATAGATAGATAGACGCTCAAAGTGCCTACGAGTACGCAAAGATAAAATGACAGCATATCCACGGAGTGCATGATGATGAGTGGGGCGAAGCATCTGTCAGTGCGTCCTCCGCCCATGTGTCCGTTCGTTCGTCCATGTGTGCGTCCATCCGTACGTCCATACGTCCGTCCATTCATCCATGCATCCACTTATCCATCCGCGCTTCTGTCTGTCTCTCCGTCCGTGCGTCTGACCATACGTCCATCAATCCAGTGAACACTCCAGGCACCACCATCTCGCATCTTTTTATATATATTCATAATAAAGAAGTACCGCCATCCAGCGAACATTCCAATGTCTAAACGAGAGGTGGCACGGCCGGACTAGAGGAGAGCCGAACGTGCGCACTTTCTTACGGCCTACGCTTCGTGTCGAGTTCGCACCTTCCTCTAGTTCATGGCACTGTGGCTTAACCCTGGCTAAACCTTGCTAAAACCAAGGAAGTTACGCCCAGCGAATTTAACGTGGCCACCCTTTCTGATCAGATAGTACTCAAAGTGCGTCCTTCAGATACTAGTTTTGTTTAGTAAGCATCAAATTCAAGGCAAATTTTATTGGAGATTAAGTCACCGATACTCGCCTCTGTAGGTTATTTAATCAGAAACAACTATCTTTTTATTTATAATTAAAGTGCGAGGGTTTCTTCCTCAATTCAAATTGCGCATGTACCGCTCCTCTAGTCCGGTCGTGGAAGTGACTACGTACTACTACGACACTACTACAACATACACCGCTGACGCACGACTCGCGGCTTGAGGAGTTTCGCTTCTGAAAAATGCTTTGCAATTAAAATGGAGATGGGCCGGGAAGGTAGCGCGTAGGCAGAATAACCGCTGGTAACTAAGGGTAACTGACTGTATTCCAGAGAGGGCAAACGCGTGAAGGGGGACAAGAAATATAGAGGACGAGATGAGAGTAAGAAGTTTGCTGGTATAACGCGGTAGCAGAAATCTCACGACCGGGTGGAACACCAGAGAGGTTTTTGCCCTGCAGTAGGCGTAGTCAGGCTGATGATGAATACTACTTGGGTAGAGGAGTGAGACGTCCCAGCCGAGGTTTAAGAGAATTTTATTTTCAGATATATCTCACATAGCCTATGTAAACACAGCAAGATAAAGAACAATGATGGTCATGCGTATGCACAGTGCAAGCTGTTATGTACAGCGAAAATAACATATTTGCGTATGCAGTGATGCACAATGCAAAAATTGTACGACAACAACGGGACATTCATGAACTTCGAGATTATGAAACTTATATAAACAGTAAAGGCTATACGTACGTACAAACATGGGGGTCTTTCACAATGTAAGGTGATGTTTTTGCGTCCACCTGTGAGGTCAGTTTGCTCTAGTGCTCAAGAACAATATTTCACAAAAAGGAGATGTTCCTAATAAAGAAAAGGAGAATTCACACTGTAGTTTCACAGTGGTACAAGCTCTAGCCAACCTCCTCAGTAGGAGAGGAAAGGCATGGACACTCTGTTGTTTTGTACAATGATGAATCGCGTACACTAGCGTCGGAGGAAAGCCTCCTCTCCCGAAATAACTAGTTCTTCATTGAGATACATAAGCATTACGTTTCTTAACCGATGTAGAAGAGGAAACATGGCTCTCTGAGGGCGTGCCCTTAGGTGAACCAGTCTCCTCCGCCTCCATAAGACGAAGGCTCCGATAGTCATTAAATGTTCGACAAAGTTATCCCTTTGGCAAGACTTCCACTGAATACTCATTTGGAACATACTGGTAAGTATACGCCGAAAAGTGCGTGCTACTACGCATTCATGAAAGACATGGTTCAGCGTTTCGACGCGGCCGCATTGCGGACATGCGGCGCAGGGCGCCACGCCCGACGCCGCAAAGCGGTCGGCCGTCGGTAAAGCCTCCCGTTCCCATTGGGCACTTTAGATCACGGACTTCAGAGGGGGAGGGACGTGTTTGTAAAAGCCCAACGTCTTTTCGCACGGCATTTCCGGCAGTGTTTAGACTTCTGTGTTTTAGAAAAGAGGTTTAACGATTTACAATACTTGATACTGTACTATGGGAGAGCTGAAAGCCGTCCCCGATACCTTGATAAGTTTAGAATTAACAGGACGGGAAACTACAGGAACACACCAACAGTTGTCGTTGGTATCGTTCCACTGGAACATACTTTAACACCCTGCAAGATTCACTGCTTGCGCGGCATCTTGCCGTCTGCGTGTGGGGATAGTGCCAAAGTATGAACTGTCGTGAGTGAAGAGTGGCGGAGCGGAGAACTGGTTAAATCGGGCTTTTATATCAGTGGCAGTAATTGAGCCATTTGCATAGCCCCCCGTTGATAGCAGCAACCTGAGCGATGAAGAATGGTGTAGTGAGAAGTATTCATTGAAATACTCAAAGCAGTCAAAGCCGCCGACAGGATGTGGCGTTCTATTTTTTCATTAAAGAAAAAAAAAGTTCTGCCTTCGGACAGTGTAAATCTAAGCGCGCTAATGTATGTGATTGTCTAACGACATCATGTGGTGTCATAACTCATCGCGAGACAAGAAGTACGCAGTCGGGGAGCGTGATCATAATCATCACCATTTATATTTATTCGTGTCTTTGTTCACTCGATCATCTGTTCAAATGACTTGAATGACGCATACAACTACTGCTACTACTGTCATGACAGCGATGACAGCCCTAGACAGATTAAAAAAGCTTCGCTCCAAATGTTTCGCTGATCTTTAGTGACTCCTTACCTCTGTGTTGAGCAGGCCGGGACCTCGGTGGTTCATTCGTCTCGTTGTCCATGTGGACCTCGGACACCATGTTGCACGGCACGAAACCAATGCGGCCGTTGCACTCTCCTTTGTAGAAGCCATCCTGGTCCTTGCCACCGTAGATCTGGAAGAGGCAGTCGTCTCAAGGGAAATTCCAGCCGATTATGCATTTCCGACCAAACGCGTTTCAGCATTGCCAAAACATTGAGCGGCAACCAGGAGGGGTATCACAACGTACATTCTGTTCCTTAGTTTTCGCTTTTCGGGACAGCAGATTTCGTTCATGATTCAGGCAGGGAGAGTTGGTTCATATCATAATTCCTGTGAGGCGCTGCGCCTCACAGAAATGGTTGTGCGCCTGAACGATATGATTAAATACTTAACTGGAGCTTAATGACAATGACACTTTCCAATAGAGACGCATTGGTGATCACGTAATCGCAAAACTATTTCTCCACTCCGTTAGCTCTTTGTGTGGCAGCCGTTAATGTACTGGTTGTCAATTAAAGAAGAAAGTGATAATTTAACGTTACTTATACGAAGGGTTCATTGATTGGCTTATGTGGAAGTTATGGTTGCGCTTTGCATAGCTTAACATTGGCCGCTTACAGCAACGATATATGATCACGTTTGTCGGAAATCTTGAGCTTAATAATGAGCACGTAAACTCATACGCGGCATTTACATTGCATACGTGTGCCTCGCCTTCATAAGCAAAGAACAACTGTGCCGGCTGGATCTGAACTGCGCCTTGCAGCGCACAAAAGACACACGAACGGAGTAGAAATTCACACCAAAAACATCGGTGGTGTCACGTTTTACTCCATCGATGTTTTTCATGTGAGCCGGACCATGTATCATACCACAGTAATATCATAATCCTGACTTCCGTTCACGTCTCAAGATTATTTGGCTAAGTATCAGGTAATGCGTAGCGCGAGAGGTCGATGGAGCTTGCCTTGATGAAGCATGGACGTACCTGCGTGAATAGAGACCCACGAGAAAAGACCCGCACAAAAACGTTCACCCCGGTACTTCCACTCCATAATAATCCAACTCTCCCCCAAAAGTGTTCACGAAGGTCATACCTTGATGAGGTCCCCTTCCTGGAAAGGCAACTCCTCGTCGGCAGTGTCCGGATTGGGCGACATGGTCTGCGGGTCGTAGTCAAACAGCGCAACGAACCAGCGCACCCTAGGTTGCCGCTGGCCGCCGCTGCCACGCCCAGTTCCTGACTGGCGACCGTAAGTGCCCCTGGCCGGAGGCGGCTCGTCATCCACCATCGGACGCATAGCCCTCGAGGGTGGCGTCGGTGACGTCGGCCTAGGTCGTTCCTGGTACGCCATGCCGCCGCCATGCTGGTCGACTCCTCCCCGAGGTCCTCCTCCTCCGCCGCCATGATACCGGCCGGGTACCTGGTGCCTGGCCGCTGGACGGGGTGCGCCGCCCCGCGGTCCCATGTCGTACTTGGCGAACTCCTCCTCTGAGTAGTTGTCCACCACGCCGAGGCCTCCTCCCTCACTGTCCTTGGCCATGTCTGTTCGCGGAATACATTGCAGCGTTATATCCATAGGTAAAACACCCTTTCACTCCCCGTCTATGCGTTACGCAATGCTACTTCAGGTGTCGGAGAAATAAGCAATCTTTCTTTTTCCCTTAAATCACTAGCACAGTGCAACGGAAACATTCACAAGCATACGCAGGACCAGGGCTGTTCTTTGTCGTCATGTCCAGGTTCAATGTGTATACTGTCAACGCTAGTTCAGTGCATAACAGTCCGTGTTTTCGTTGCACGGTTTTACCTGTGGGTATGTACGCGCCCATTGGCTCGCATTTCGACGTTTCCAAGTTACAGAGTGACTAACACGTCTTATGCAAATATGACACGTTATTGACTTGTTGACGGTTACCAGGGCAACTGCAACGCATTCAGAAGCTTACCGAGAAACTAATAACTGGTTCCAATAGCGGACTATTCTGGATCCCTGCAGACAACACCAGAATAGGCATATGATCATCGAACATAGTTTGTTATAGACCTCTTTAAGACCTGCACCTGTAAGTGACATTCAGTCGGAAAAAGCTCGATCCTCAAGAATTTACGCAACTAGTAAACGTTCTGTACTGTTACTGGGCAGGTCTGCTTACCCAACGCAAAGAAAATATTGTCAATGAATGTGACTCGTTATAAGGACACCAATGTTAGGGTGCATTGTTTTAGGGGCGAAGCTCTACATACCGTGGATCGTGCGTCCGCGATGTATGTAGTAGTAGTAGTAGTAGTAGTAGGTGGCCACCTATCGCTTAGTCCTTGCAATGTCCGCTGGATGGCGGTACTTCTATATGGTGAATATATGATGAAAAGATGCGAGATGGCGGTGCTTGGAGTGTTTACTAGATGGACGGACAGACGCACGGACGGACAGACAGACGGGCACTCGAAAGGATAGACAGAGAGGAAGACATATACAAGGACGGACACATGGACGAATGAACGGACGCATAGATGGACGCGCGGACGGACAGACGGATGGACGAACGAAGCAAGAACGAACGGACAGACGGAAGCGCGGACAGACTGACGGACGCTTCGCCCTACTCATCATCATTCAGTACGTGGACATGCTGTGGTTTTTTTAAATAGCAGTACAGCTGAACGCGCAAAAAACAAAGGCAGAGTGAGGCGATCAGAACATGAGCTCTTCCAAAATGCCTGTATTGTCATGACCTCACTCTCTCCTTGTTTGTGTGTGCTTAAGTGTTCTGCTATCACTCATTATGATGAGCGGACGGAGTGATGGTTGGTCTATCGAAAGCGGCTGGTGGTGAAATGGAGCGGCGGGTGGCATTTTAACAACCTGTGGGGAACCCACGGTCGGCACTCACCCATAGGCATGCCCGAAGGGCCGTAGTAGGGGTAGATCTCTTTGTCGCTGAGTGCGTCCTCCGGCTCGATGATGAGCTGGCCGGCCGAGTTTCTCTTCTCGCTGCGCCTGACGCCATGGTGGTGGACGCCACCGACCCCCTGGTGCATCGGCTGCTGGGCCATCTGTCGCCGTTGCGCCACAGGTGGCTGTTGGGGGGCCGGTTGATGCATATTAACCTGCTGCTGGTACTGCGGGTGACCACCGGTTTGGTGCATCTGGTGCATCTGATGGTGGTGCGTAGAAGAAAGACATGGTTTAATTAAAGTGAGTATGTCAACTTTATGGCTTGCTCGCTTGATTGAAACACTTCTCACTTCGAACAAAAGTACACGAGGAGCGCGATTATTATGGTGATATGAAGAGAGGAGAAAATGTTTTCTGGTGCAAAAATAACAATTATTCTTTAAAATGTCTTACTGGTAAACAGGCGCGCGAGTCCAAGGAGCATCAATGTAGAGTCAGCGCCCCAAAGCAAAGAAATGGACTTGCACTCATAGGGAACCAACTATATAAAATCGAGTCGCATTACTCCGCAGTTATGGCTACAAGGGTGCAGCGCTTTCATTAACGTATGTCGCCTATGCACTGAGCAGACTATTTCATAAAAAAATTACCCTTAATTTTATGCACTCTATTTCTTTTCTTCACACGAAACCAGCGTCGGCTGGAGAAAAACGTTCATAAGTACAATTTGTGATAAAACAGCGATATGTGTGCATTCTCTATCTAAAAATAACTCAGCAGAAAGTTTTCAAAAGGAACATCTACAAGATTACCCGTGCAACGAAGGATTCCACACGTCGCAGTAACAATGGAAGCGTTAAAGTTTGTAACTTTTTCGACAAAGAGACCTGTAGAGCAGAGTATCTTGGAGGTACAGAGCACACATGTGTGAAAGAGCTTCACCTTTAAATATTTTCTGCAGTACAGCGAGCTGTAAGAACAAGCTATGGGCATTTCAAGGCGAAACTAGCGGCATTAATTTCACCTGGTGATGTTGTGGCTGAGTGTGATGCTTAATTTCACCTGGTGATGTTGTGGCTGAGTGTGATGCATGACGGGTTGCTGTTGTTGCTGCATGTTCTGTTGCTGCTGCTGGGGCTGTTGGTGGTGATGGTGATGGTGATGATGATGCTTCCTTCCGCCGGGTCCCTGAACGCCTCGCGAACCGCGAGCTCCGCGGTGACCCAGCTGGAAAAAGAAAAAAAAAGAGGAAGCGAAAAAGCCGTTACGATTATCATAACGGGATAGCCTATAAACAGAGTTGTGTTGCTCGAACACAACCCGCGTAATGATGCAGAATGTACACCTCAAATTTTCAGGACGTCTGAGCTGGCCGCAACAGTGTTTCATTTTTATTTCTCAGATACTACACACTCACAAAACATTTGCGGTCAGTGCATACAGTAATGTTATTGAATGTTTAAACATTAGTGGCTACCTGAACAAAAAAAAGAATGTCACAAGCAATTAAAGCATGTTTTCCGAATGGGAGCTGTCTATGACCACGGTGCAATTTCGTTAAAGTACCTGCTTGCTTTTTTACCCCATATTTTTGATCTTTAGATCTCCCACATTCTTTGTCCTAAAGCTTGTTAATTGCGAGAACGCTAAAACTGAGACGCCAGAGTTCATGAACATGACACAACATGAGGTTGACTTCCTTGGAGACGCCTATGACATCTGCAGTGATTTCTCGAAAATATGCGGTTCTGCCGTGGATACCGTTATGTGTGTCCCGTGTGTTGCATTTACCATTCTTTCTGTGTTTCCTCTTACATGTATCTGAGAATCGCTCCACTCCTAAAGAAAATTCCTGACCCTAAAAGCATAATATTTTGTTTTGAGATATGATTATCTGTTTGCAACCTTATATACGCAGCCCAGAATTACGCTGCATAAATCATGATTGACTTCAAAAGTTCAGGAGCATAAACCTCTGGGAAATGTTTTAGTGCGAAAACTGCTCGTAAGAGGGAATCCCAGCCCAGTGCTATAATATTGATATTTGCGAATGCGTCTGGAAAAATTGCCAGGCAGCCAGCTACGAACTGTCTAACAAAAATAGATTAGATTAGCCGCGTTTCAAGGTTACTTTAACAACAATCGATGCCCCAAATTAGCAACACATGTAGCTTACTTTTTCGTATAGAAGAGAACCGCAGTCGTGCCATAAAAGCGACTGGAAACGGGTATTTCGCAAATCCCTGCCAAATGACATCAATGTACACTGCACTCGAAATACTGTCACTAATTCTAGAAGGTGCCCTGCTTGGAATAAGGCACAGCATGATGGCAAGATAATATGTACTAGTTATGCTATATGCGCGGGTGCGAGCGCTGTGGAATATGATCTGTATACCTAGTGCTCATAGTCCATTTTTGCCATGCGTGCATTGAGACGGAAACACAGCACCAACACACACGGACTTGAACGGTGCAAATCGTCACGAGTGCCAGTAGAGCGTTGGCACGACGGTATACACACACACACCGAGCGCGCTCTTCTGCTCCACTCACCTCGCCGTTCTCCATCATCTCGTCCTCGAGTTCCTCCACAATGTCGGACAACTCCGAGTGGTTCTCTTCGACGCGTTCCGCCGACTGCGCAGCAATCAGTGGGAGGGAGAGTTAGGACGATATTTCACTGCCGCGAGTCGCGCACGCATGAGAAGCTCGCGGAGAGCAATCGAGGCAATCACTACGCTTCAACTGACCATCGCCGCAAACGACATATACTTCTCCTAACATAGGCAGCTCGAAGAAGCCTGATACGGGTACGGGTACAAGTACCGGTACGTGTACAAGTACGGATATGGGTACAAGAACGGGTATGGGTTCAAGGATGGGTACGGGCACCAGTACGGGTTCGGGTACAGGTACAAGCAGGTTGCCAGGATGAGAACAGGTGATACGGGTACAAGGAAGGCTATGGGTATAAGGACGTTTCTAGGATTAGTTAAACAATGTGAATAGATACAAGTAGAGTACAAGTAGAGTACGAGTACAGGCACACGTACAGTACAAGTACGGGTATGGGTATAGGTATGAAGGAGGGTACCCAATGACGTCTATGCCTATAAGAGAAGAAACAATCCAGAAATAGAGGCCTCCCTGTCAAAATAATAGCTCGTTTAGAACGTTTTAAGTGAAGCCCCATGTATCATCGTTGCATGCAACATACGGTGTCTCAACTTGCCACGCGTAGCGTGTTTGATTTGATGTACTTAACATCATCGAGAAAGTTAAAACTTTCACACCTATTACATTAATTCGTTTTTCGCATTTCTTACTTGTTCCAATCAAAACAGTGGAACGAAGATAGCAGTGGCGTTAACAATTACACATATGAGCAAATGCCTTTCGAACTAAAAGCAACATAGTACATACAGCAATGGTTGCTGGCTTGGTTGTATAAACTTAAAGGACCGTCCGCAATTTAGAAGAAACGAAGTGTACGCTGCCCCGGTCAAAATAAAAAAGATACTCTTGGGCTGTGAATATTAATTCTACTGGCGCCTTCCTAAATCACGTTTTCACTGAGCCGCTGACAAGAACCAAGCCTAATACAACTGTGCAGCCGTCCACCTCAGCCCACGTAAATACGGACACAACCAACGGCGCTTGTTTCATCGCGTCTTTAGCTGAACAACTTTGTGAACGAAAAACAACATGACCCGCTTTTCCTGCAATGTACTAATTGAGAGAGTGAGGCTATATAACATGGTTCACACTTTACTCACACTTTTGAGATGTACACTTGTCAAAGTAGACAACAAATATCAACATACACTAAGACGCACACAACTCATTACACGTGCTAATCATATGCAAATGTGAGACAACCAATGAAACACAGAGGACGAGTAAAATCGTATCAGAGATTATTTACTGGCAGTTGCAGTGTTTCACAAGTGAAGCATGCACAGGTAGCATAGAACATACGTTTGTGATTGGGAACGCTGATGCGTTTATCACAGCTTCGAATAGAAGAAAACAAACGGCTATAGTGAATGGGAGCAAGATGAGACGCTCAGACGTTTGTTCCGCTACATGATCTGCTTTCGAGATGGAACAACTCTACTTCGACTGAACAGGTCGTCAGCGCTTGGCGATAAATCGTGATACAACACAACGAACTTCCATTGACGTTCAGCTGTAGCCCGTGAAGCCATTTTACTTAAGCTATCGTGGCTTTGGATAACTACAGAATGCTCACGTCATCATGTGTTACCCTGAACGGCTTCAAGTACTATCAAAACGCATCGAGATATACCGTGAACACAGCACTCAGATCTACACACGAGTTTGTGTGTCGTTATAATGAGGTACTAGCAAGCAAATTGACTAAAGAAAACAGTGAACAATGTTTCGGAATGTACCTGCCTTTCAAAAAGCATGAGATCTAAAGTTGAAATCACACAATGTTGACCACTTATAAACATTAGCATGATTGGCGGAGAGTTGATAACGGTTCGGTATGTATATACCCTAGCATCCGTAGTGTCCGTGATTGGGAAGACAATGCGACATTCCGGGGTTACCACGGTGCGGTATGCAAGAGGCAACACTGACCTTAGAGATATGTCCAGCTCTTAATGTGCTGATACATGGTTCAGCAGTTATCACAGCGGAAGCAAACTCGCAGAAGCACATAACATAAAGGGATGTATACGAGCTAAGAATTTGGCAAAGAAAGCACGAGGCTGAATATGTAGACCGCTAGGCTGGTTGTGTTCTCGAATGTTTGTCACAGTTACCGACAGACCCTAGCCAACGCTCTGCTATAGTATTTAGTGGGCGCGAGAACACCATCATAGAGCAGTTGCGGGGAAAGAGTGACCACTGCTTGCTGCAAGAAGATTTCGCCATAAACGAAGTGCCGGTGAGTCTGTCACAGATGAAACAACACAGTGCAAACGTGAGAACGACACTGACGGGCAACAAATACAGCGGGAAACACGTAACTCTTTATGTCTGGCACGTTTCTCTTCTTCTACATGCATTTTTCCATCAACCGCATCTGAGCGCCTCATACTTGGAGTAGAGGAGGCACCACCTCTACTTCGAGCAGCGCCGTCTAAAAGTAGAAGGGACGCTGGCAACATCCGAAGCAGTGAGGTGTGAAAAAAACTAGTCTGATTCAAAATGTCAATACGCTGCAGCCCCGAGTGCGCACTTTAAAACACGTCTTATCATTCAGTAAGTTTTTTTTGCAGTTTTTATACAGCCACTATCTCGATGAGTCAAACCATTATGAGGCGAGACAAGTCGTCTGTTCTCTTTCACGAGATAGCTTTATACCGAGGGAACGAAAATACTATAGGTATACCCAGGAACCATAGTGCACTTTAGTGTACCATGCAAGACAGAAAGATCACGGAGACACGGTGCGCCTTCAATCGAGCGCACTCGGATCGAATTGTCGACCTCCATTGACCTCTTGTGCTTTCCAGAATGACGCTGTTGCTATATAGGCTGACGCTGTTGATATATATTCAGTACCGGGGTGCTCCATGTTACAGGGGATGTATGTCTGTACTTTACTGTGATGTGTAATGCATACTTCCGTACGCAAGCGGAAGGGAAATCTGCAGTTAGCGTTGCCAAGTCTAAAGATTTGTATTTATACCGATGGAGTGACCAGGGACGTGGTCGGACCTAGCATTTTGGAAATCAAGATAAACTCTTTTCGCCCAGTCCCGCCACAGTAACTTTGACTCCGTCATTTTTCGCTTCACTAAGCAGATTCCACATCGCCAACGACTCGATACGTTCTTAGATCACAAAAGTAGAGAAACGTGTATATATGTACGCCTAAACATCCATAAATAACACAGTACGTTGACAGGTTAGTTGGCGCTTGCCATTGGTAACTTAGCGAAAGCAAACGACGAAAAAAAGACGACGACACACAACATTTCTCTCCACCGACCTGTGGTCAGAGGGTAGCGCTGTATCGTATCATCATCGTTTAGTTGCGTTTAAAGGTTATTATGGACTATATCAATGAGTGAGGTGATATAGCCAACTGCGCCTCCCAAACTTGAAAATAGAAAACACAGATTCTGTGAAAAATACCAACAACAATAACAACAAAAAAGGAAGTGCATCGAGCATGTACAAAGTGCCCAGATTGGTGCGTCGATCAGGACTGCACAAGTGCACCATAGAAGACATGTGCGGTCATAAGAGAACCGATCGCCGTTCACTACGACAGAGTTGTATACGGCGACTGTATTTGTGGCACAAGGGAAAATCAGACGGGGATGGGTACACAGCCACCATCTCAGAGGACGACGACGACCAGTCAGCACCGTGGTATGCATATTTGCACGTCCACGTATACCTTATTCTGTTGGGCGTCGAAAGCGCGCGCTCGGCGCTTGACTCGTCGCAGCAGAGCTGCCGTCTCCGTCTCCGACTCTGAGTCGCTACCGTCCGAGTTCTGACACAAACATCACGTGACACACACAGCGACAGAAAGGATGGAAGGAAAGAGAGAAAGAAAAAAGAAAAAGAGCATACGGAGGGGTAAGCAAAACACGGGGAAAGCTTTCTTAGTCGTTTTGTACAGCTTCTTAAGAGGCACCAAAAAGAAGAAAAATTTTTTTTTATATTACGCTTTCGTAATTGATTGATTTGTGGGGTTTAACGTCTTAAAACCACCATATGATTATGAGAGACGCCGTAGTGGAGGACTCCGGAAATTTTGACCACCTGGACGCTTTCGTAATTAAAAAAAAATTCTGCGTGTGCCACGAGAACGCGCTTGTTAAGCGAAAAAAAAACATGCGAAAATTGCGAGTGCCGACAACACATAGAAAGTGCCGCATCAAGCGCAATGAGATCATGAATTTTTACGGTGTCTACTGCGGCCTACGAGTTTCTTCGTAAAAGCAAACTACGTTGACCTCCAAGAATAAACATTCTAAAGTTCCCAGGTGGTACCGAGCTAACAAGCGAATAACCATCGCAAAGAACCCCCCCCCCACCCCCACCCCCCAAAAAAACCGGCGCTACTTTCGCCAGAAAGATCAATAGGAGCAGAAATTGAATAACCTTTCCCTCTTGAAAATTGTTTAAATTAAGGTAAATGAAATGTCCCTCGAACCCGAAGGGGAGTCGATAGAAAAATTACTCTACTTATACTGAAAACGAGAATCTACGCAAATACAATCGAAAGCACTTACTCACTGTTAACATCGTCTCTGAGGCAGTCTCCATTCTACTAAGTGCACCATTTCTAGTTCCTTATTTATTACCTTTTGTTGTTGATTCTTCGAAGGTGATTTTCCCAAGCCGATCGCAAAAGTACACAAATTTCATAGACAAACACGCTATAATAGAACGAAAACTCGCCATGAGTCAACGTTATTACCCCCGGAGAAAAGGAAATAAGCTCCAAAAACGCGATCAGCGATCAGGCCAGCGATCGAGCCCGCCTGACGCGGTCAACTCAACGACGTCATCAAGCGGCTGCGCCAGTCTGTTTTACGCAACGCACAGTGAACTCCCTCAGCCCACGAGCCCGATGAAGCAATCGGCGCCTTCCAGTCTGGCGAGTCTTACGCAATGCTTGACAACCTCACTCCTTCTTAGGC